TGTTTGCTGAGTCTCGGTCCACTTTTTTGGATACTTTTGGAAAGTTTCATCCCAATAGATATACGTAAATATTTTGGATATTAGTATATTATTTTAAGATACCATCAAGGATTCTTCAAAAAGAAACATTTCCAAATTGCTGAAATCTACTTTAAAAGGAAACTTGCTTATTAACAGTCTTATTGTTTAAGTAACCACTCCCATTCGGTTTCTTTCCTAGGTCGACACACTCAAGCTGGCGATCAGCTACATAACCTTCCTGAGCGAGATGGTCAAAAAGGATAAGAATGGCAACGAACCCGGTCTGAGCTTGCAGCGCAATTACCAGAAGGAACCGCCCAAGAAAATCATCCTCAAGGATCGCAGTGAGTTGTCAATCCATATCAATCAATTGCCATGCATCAAATACATAGGTGGGCGGACGGTCAGTGAATCTGGTATACATTTAATAACATTAATCATTTAGGGCACTGGCCTTATTCAAAGGTTATCTATGGGTGGACTGGGTTTTGTAGTGAACAGGACACGAACAGGGGATGCTGAGCTGCGTCCTGGCATCGTTTTTGGCTCTGCCGTGTCTGCCTAAGTGTAACTAATTAGAATTTTCACACTTTTCGCGCAGGGTTTTGGGTTCGCATTGCGGGCTTTGCGTGACTGCCAGTCAAGCAAATTGTTTTGCTCATTGCCGTCGCATCGATCATCGAGGATGTGGATATATGGATGCGGATGTGGCATGCCTGGGTTTTCACAAGTTTTACCCGGGATACAATGCCCGGGGATTAGGGGTTTCCGTGTGCCAGCTCATAAAAGTTGCTTTGGTCACGGTTTCTTGGTTAATAATTTTCCTATTCAAAATGTATGACACTGCAGGCTGCAACGAGTTCCCCGGCAAGGGGATCCTTGGAAAGCATCTGCATAACTAATAGTCTGGGCACTTGGAAACCCGAAAGGGTGTCGATTTGGGGTTTTGCGAATAGGAAAGGGCGAGGTTACTTATTGAGTGTTATGTATAGCCCTTAAAAAAGTCATCCTTTTTTTACATTTTTTATTCATGTTTGTCACAACACAAATTTTAACTGGTTAAAGTTGAGTTAAACTGGTTTTAGAATGGGAGAAGTCTCGTCGGAGAAGTAATTTGTGTTACAATTTACTGCTTTGGGAATTGTGCAATAACAAATTTGTATTATTTATGTGTAAATACATATATTCAGAAATGAAATAAATGAGGTAAAAGTTCTTGATAATTAGTTGTATAGGAAGGATTTTTATCGTTAAGAACTACCTTCGAATGAAATTCAATAATTTTATAATTATTTTATTTTTTGATATTTATAGAAGCTTTTCCCAAGTTTCCTTTCTAGAGTAAGTGGATGAAGTCAGGTCATCATTGATCAATTTTACTCAAGCAACAGTGCTTAAAAATCATATAGATTTTATTTATTGCTAGCCTCCTTCTGGGCTTTTTTATCAGACTATTCGATGTAGTTCAGACCAAATGAACATGCAAGCTCTTATGAGTAATTTGTGTCTACCTGATAAAAGTCCCACATGCACCACACCAAACACCTTGCCCGATTCCAACCTCTGTCAGAGGGGGAGTAAATTTGGGGGTGGAGGAACAGAACCGAACAGAACCGAACCCGAACCAAATAGTAACAATAACAGGAACAACAAAGCCCAATCGACATAATCATAGCGTGAGAAATTCGTTACACTCCAGCAGATGGCTGCTGTCGCCGTCGCCGCTTAAAGGCCAAATAGAAGGCGACCAGGTCAGAACAGAACGGCCCAGAACAGCGAAGCGGGGAGATGGCCATGTTGATGGCGAAAGCGTTTTCATGCTTAACGGGCATTAAAAATGTTGCAGCAAAAACAAAAATACAACGAAACTTCTCCTGGGGGAAGCTCCATGAAACGCCCATTTAAATGGGTGCAAGGATGGTCGGGTGATAGGATGGGGATTTTCGGCACGCGGCTGGCATATGTTCACACCAACTTGCAAAGATGCGGAAGCTGCGCCGGAAAATGGTCGGGGTCGCATATTTGAGCAGCACCCGCATGAGGCACTCGAAAACTGCGAGAGCTACAAATTGCCCGACTTGGGTGGTATGTTGGTTCTGATTGGACATAGTCGTAGGGGGAGGAGGGTGGCGGATAAGGATTCCGGTCCGGGCTTTGCTTTAGGTTTTGGGTTTGTTTGTCCAAGGCAAATGGCGTGGCCCAGCGGGGTGGCAGCTGCAACAACAAACCGGGGTTCCCCGGTTCCCCCGATCAACATCAACCCTTTGCCGTATTTGTTTGCCCTGCGAGATGATGGGCCCGTAATGTGGTCGCTAATGGCATTTGCTCAGTTTTGGCAACAATTTTAATTGTTTGGGCGGCGCTTGACTCTGTAATGGGTGTTGTTGCATTTCGAGAACACCTCATAACATCGAATGAAACAATCATTGTCTTTAAAACAGAAATACACATTTTCGCACTTTGCTGAAGAAAGTTTGGATATCAAAAATATGCACTTCTCTTTTTAATAAAAAAAAGAAAGGAAGCAAACTTCTGCAAGCCGAAGTTCTATACCCTTCCAGGTATAGTTTTCCGATCCGGCTCTTTTCGACTTATATACTTCCTGCAATAGAAATTAGACTTTTGGGAAGGTTTCATCTTGATAGCTTTAAAACTGAGAGAATAGTTTGCGTTGAAAGGGACAGATCGACTCTTTTAGTGTTGCTGATCAAGAATATATATACTTTATGGGGTCGGAAACGTCTCCTTCACTGCGTTGCAAACTTCTGACATAAATCATTATACCCTCTGGAAGGGTATAAAAATGATCTTTTTGTTTTTGATTGATGTTACTACGTCATAGCAGCTACTTAAAAACAAATATCACAAATAACAGAACACGAAGTCACGCTCTTAAAGTGCACATATAAGGTTTTTACTTTATGTTAGATATTAATATATGAAACCACATTTTCACTAACCACATGTTCCATACTTTATCTACCGCTTGCAGCTGGCGGAGTGGCGCACTCGTTGTCCTGGTACCGCAAGGGGGACCGATATCCCGGCAGTAAGCTCTACGCCCGCACCTGGACACCAGAGGATCCACGAGGACCCCACTCGCAGCCCCTGCCGCTGTACAACAACAGCAACTCGAATCAGAATCAAAACAGCAACCAGAGCAGCGACGATTTCAGCGGAAGTGCTGATATGTCCGATCCGGGAGCAACGGCCAGTATTTTCAGCAGCGGCAGTGGAATGTGAATTGTGAACTTGAAGGTTCCCAGCATGACCTGCAAATAGTTACAGAGAATGAGATTCAATGGAAATCCTACTAGTCAAGCCTTGCTAGTCATGGCACCTAACACATATTAACCAACTTAATAATTATATGAGGAAAACATGTTCTGTGGTATTTAATTGCTCTAAGTTCGCTAATATCTAAATGTTATACATAGTGGTTTAGTTTAAATCGAATAAACATTTCACACAAATCTACCCAACAATATCTAATTGCAGTTCAAGCGACGAGGGCAAAAGGAACAATTCGAGGATAAATTATATAGTTATCAGCACGAGCGTGTATTGAACACCTGGCCCTGGTTGTCCTCGTGGCCTTTGCACCCTGGCATTTTCGATATCATTAAAAAAGAGGGACAACGGGCGAACAGACAAATATCAAAAACACAAGTGCAGTTCATTTTTTCGTTCGTGGGGGTGGGTGTAAATTGTACACTCTAGAAAAAACCTATAATTATTCGGAAACTCAATTGATCTTACAAATGTTTTCTACATTGACTGACATTTATTGATTTTTTTATGAAAAGTTTTGTCAGGACATGTAAACTATAATTGATGGTTAAATGGTGTTTTAGGTGTGGTAAATATTTCAAAAATTTGAATTAAATGCATTTTATATTCCTACCCTTTTTTAGACAATATTCAATTCACCAATTGAATTCTCCCATTGTTGAATATTTCCCAATCATTTTGTTAAGTGTACGCTAAGGCTTACGGGGAACTGCAACTAGAAAATTATTTCCGGTCTTCCGACATGCATGCTTTCACGCTGAATGGAATTTTCTTTAAAAAAATGAAAAATTATTATTTTTAAGCGTTTTTATTTGGCGGTGTGAGCGTGCCATTTAAAACATCATTATGACTGTCAACCGCTGGACGCGCAGATGTTGTCCGTCTGGCTGAGCAATTGAGATGTTTATCAGCAATTAGGATTAGCTCGTGGCAGGGGTGTTTCAATAATGTCGTGATTGAACGTTGCGATTGTGAGCCGATCTACGTTGATATCTCAATTCGATCGTATGTAAATGAATGACTTCTGTTTAGCTTGCTGTGGTCAAAGATTTAATTAACTGTCGGCGGCGACAGCTGCACGGGGTTATCAAAATCTGATTGTTGGCGAACTGAGGGCGAGTGTCCACACCAAAAACGACAACTCAGCTAATCAAGCTTTAAAAACTTCTGTCACCGAATATATTAATATTATACAGAAGTTGGGTTGTGCCCAACAAAAGCCATATCATATAAACGCGAGTTTTAAGAATATTATAGACATCCAAAAAAATCTCGATTAATTTTTTTATTCAATGAAACCATTAAAGCATCATTTAAAACTGTTGATATATAATGTTTTTATCGCTAATGAATAATCCAGTTGGAATTTAAGCTTATGAGTATAAATATTCAAAACAGGAAGTGTTGTTTTGATTTATGCTCAGCGCACTCACTTTTTTTATGTTTAAAATTGATTAAAAACTTTTGCCGATAAGCCTAATTTAATAATGAATAAGGATAAATGCCATTTGGGCAAATATTTTCAAAAAGTGTGATGTTCACTGTTTTATGTTGGTGATCCGTTTTCGGTTGTTTAACAATATTAAGCGCAACTTGCCAGACAATAAAAACTAGATAAAAGCAAAAAATATTTTATAGAGTGGAAGATAATATACATATTTTTGCAAGTATTTAATACTAATAGTGTTTTTAAATTAAAGAAACTGATATTATTCCTGTGGTTCCAGCTTTAGATTTGATAACTTTTTTGTAATAGAGTCCTTAAAGTCGGTGAAGAATTCCTCTATCTCGTCGCGACAACTTCGCATGATGTTTTTAAGACAGAGGCTAATTGAAATCGGATCGCCATTCTCCAAGCGATACGCTAGATTCTGCTTCAGATGGGGGGCCAATCCCAAACGGGCCAGTATGTCCAACTCGAAGGAATCGTATAAGGGGTGTTTCTCCGCAAGGAACTCGGCGCATTTCTCATAAATATCCAGACACTGCAAGGATTTGTTGGCGCTTTCCATGAAACTCCGTAGCAGCTTACAGGCCTCCGAGTCTTGCAGAGTCTTTTCGACGCTGCTCGACAACGCGAGGATCCTTTCCACCTCTTCTACGGCCATGCTCTCTACTAGCTCCTCAAAATGTTCCTAGTGGTTTGGAAAATTATTGATCTGATTACATTTTTCTAAGTGTCTATAAACCTTTTTTGCACTGGAGGCCATGTCGCATATATTAATACAGAAATATTTGTAACTTAAGAGTTGTCGTTTTAATGAACGAGCAGGGCCTTTTATAGTCTCGAATGCGACGCTGCTTACTAAGTTCTCAAACCTTTATCTTTCGACTTAAAATTTGTAGGGGCAACTCATACTTTTTTTAGAATCGTAATTATAGTTACAATGAATCATCAAATCGTACGAATAAACAAACAAGAAAGGAAGCTAACTTCGGCACGCTGAAGTTTTCATACCCTTGGTTTCAGATTATTAGAAAACTAGAACCTAATTACAGAAATTTTAAGACTATGTTCCCTTTAAATTTACTACCGTATATGTTTACCGAGAATATAACGGTCTACGTATTATTATGACGTTAATTATGTGATCGTCCCATGGCAGCTATAAGGTAAAGTCGTCCGATTTGTTTTAAAACTTATTCAAAATTCTGAAACACTAAAATAACGATATCCATAAGAGTATAAGTTGACGTATCAAAAACACCAAAGATATATTTTTGTTACATTTTTTTTAAAATAATATTTTGATTATTCCTATGGGAGCTATAGGATATATGTAGTTTTCCGATCCATCTCTCTGCGACTTATGTACTACCTGTAATAGAAATAAGAAGGAAGGGATCCCGATAGCTTTACAAATTCCCCGTAGAAATGGACAGAAGGACTGATGGACAGACGGGCATGACTAGATCGACTTGTCTAGTGATGCTGATCAAGAACATACATACTTTATGGGGTCAAAAACGTCTCCTTCACTGCGTTGCAAAATTCTGACTGAAATCATTATACACTCTGCAAGGGTATAAAAATGTGTAAGCAAATTGTATTAAAAAATTTGAAAATTTCGTCGTTTTGACAATCAGTTTTAGTTTTCGAAAAAATGTTATAGTTTTCTTCTAAAATAAGAAATAAAGACTGCCGCAGCCCTATCAACCAGAAGCCACCTCTCAATTATTAGTCTCGACTTCGAAAAAGCTTACTAAAATAGGAATCCACGCAATAAATGCCGAGTTACAGAGATGGAAATATCGGCCCAAAATTGCTTAATTTCGTAAATAACTTCCTAACAAATCGCAAGATCAAAGTCAAAGTGAGCCACACTTTTTCTTAAGACAGACCCACTGTACAATGGGATCCCACAAGATTCTCCGCTGTCTGTAATTCTCTTCCTAATATCGTACAACAAACTATGCAAACTACAAAATATAACAAACTATGGAGACGACTTCACTATACTGAAGAAAATCCATAAAAATGTTAACACAATGTCAATAAACAGTCACAATCACAAACACTTCACAGACATATTAAGCTGGTGCGACTACTCAGGTGAGAAACTCTCCGTGCAAAAATGCAAACATCTGCATATCTGCCGGAAAACAAAGTCATACTCTCTTAACCAAGCTAGTTCCCTTAAAATCCTTGGCGTTACCATATCAAGTAAGTACAGGTGGAAGGAACACATAGACACTCTGACAGTAGAATTATCAAAAAGACTCAACATAATTAAATGGTTAGGCAATCGTAGATACAAATGCGATACCAGATCTTTAATAAATACAATAAATGCTCTTGTAATGTCCAAGACTGACTACTGTGTCCCATTTTATGGGAATTGCCCTCTCTCCTGTCTAAGAAAACTCAAAACTATTTACCATGCAGCTTTAAGACTTGCTTTTGGAGCACCACGTACAACTCCAATCAATAACCTTCTAATTGAAGCCGAGATTACGCCTATCGAAATTAGACTTGAGCTGACCACTGCGCCAATTTGTGAGGTTTTCTCATTCGCCAAAAATACGCCGCTTCAAACTGTCCTTCAAAAGATAAAGAACGCTAAAAGAAAACCCATATTATATTTACATTAAATAAAAAGGTAAAAATTTAAAAACCGATGTCAAAGAATATTAAAAAATGTAGCTTCTACGTTTTTTGAATTCTTATTCCTTAGCGGGGTAAAATTTGAAGTTGACGCGCTGGTGCTGCCAACCGGCCGAGAAAAATTCCGCGGTCGCTGCTCTGCCGCTGTTAGATTTTGATACATCTTAACAATTCAGTTAGAAAATCGCGAAATCTAACATTTTAGAGCGCCAATGGTGGCCGGGTGGTGAACCAGTGATCACTCTAACAGTTAAGATGTCTCAAAATCTAACAGCGGCAGAGCAGCGATAACGTTCGGCTGCCAATCAGCTATCGATATCGATACTACAGCTGGCGCACGTTTGTTTTGTTTGTGAATTCTTAAAATTTAATTTAATTCTTAAACGTTCTTCAATAACAATAACACCGTGCGAAATACAAGGATGCGGTACGCACAGATAATAGTTGGTCCTGCTGGCAGTGGCAAGGTATGGCCAGTTAAACATCAGCTGCTTCGTCCAGTGTTCTAACCCAATCCCAATCCTCCCCAGTCGACGTACTGCAGCTTAATGCAGCAACATGCCATGGACTCCAAGCGAAACATCCAGGTGGTGAACCTCGATCCGGCGGCGGAGCACTTTAACTACAACCCTCTGGCGGATATTCGCGAGCTTATCCACCTGGACGATGCCATGGAGGACGAGGAGCTGCACTACGGACCAAATGGGGGCCTGATCTTCTGCCTGGAGTTCTTGATCGAAAATCAGGAATGGCTGAAGGACCAGCTCTGCGGCGGCGAAGATGAGTTAATGGTGGGCGAGCCGGATGACGACTATATCCTGTTCGACATGCCCGGTCAAATAGAACTATTCACTCACCTGAAGATGGGCAAGCAGCTGGTGCAGCTGCTAGAGTCCTGGAACTTCCGCACCTGCGTCGTCTTCTGCTTGGACTCGCAGTTCATGGTGGACGGGGCCAAGTTTATATCTGGGACCATGGCTGCACTCAGTGTGATGGCCAACATGGAGCAGCCGCACGTCAATGTGCTGACCAAAGTAGATCTGCTGAGCAGTGAGGCGCGGAAGCAGCTGGAGATGTACCTGGAGCCGGATGCGCACAGTCTGATGGGGGAGTTGACCATAGGCACAGGTTTCGGCGAGAAGTACGCCAAGCTGACGGAGGCCATCGGATCGCTGATCGAGGATTTCAGGTGAGCTACTCTAAAAACAGAATTCCTGAATGCGTAGTTTTTAACGACCGTATTCTCTGACGATGGTGTTAAGACCCATCCGATGAACCAGTTTTTTTCCCAAATGTTCCTTATTGGCATCAGTAACAAATAACTTATGGGACTTTGATGAAAAATTATCTTTCTGCTCCGCAAATTAAATCATAAAATTTAATTTTTTTTTAATAAACATATAATTACAAAGGTATTCACTGTTGTGTTACTATTTTAATGTTAATGATACACACGAGGTTGATAGTGTTTACTAGTAAATACAAAAGCTGATTAGTTAATAGATTTCCAAAGACTTTAAATGGTTGACATAAAAGATTATATTGATAAGTTAAGATCACTCTTAAAAAGCCTTTATGTTATTGCTTAGTGTGCAGACCATGCCAATTATTTTTAAAATACGACCTTTTCCGTTTCATACCAATACGCTTCAGTACTCTAACTTGAATGAATTGCATTTTACAACGACACAAGTCATCCATAAATTACAATGACTTTTTGCTTTACTTTCTAAGATTTAATTTTTATAATTCAAATATATGTTCTCAAGCATTGAAACTTTTTTCAAAAATATTTTAAGAGTGAAACCAAATAATATTAGTATTTATATCATATATATTCATACCTATATATATATTGAATATTTCACAAGAATTACAAATTAAGGTTTTTACTTCCCCTTGCTGAAAGGGTCTTAAATCTAATGCTTCAGGCTTTAGCCTTGCGCGTCGGGTGGAATGGGTGATGCATTTGGGACAAGTCAGGAGGATTCTGCTCGAATGCACTAATTTCCTGCATGCCACTGTTAGCGATCTCCCACAGCTGCGGGTATTCCTCCTTGAAGGTTTCGTACCACTTGTTCACCAACGGATACTGCATCAAATCGAAGTTAATTGCCTCCAAACAAAGCGTTGCCGAAATAAGGGCGAAATCTGCAATGGTAATATTATCGCCGGCTGCGTATTTAGTGCCCAGACGCTCCAAATATGTTTCGAACACCTCAAGTGCGTTCTGCACCTTCTTTAGCGACATGGGCGTACGTTCGTAGTCAAAGAAGATGGGTGCCATGCTGTGGGCTGAAATGGGGGCGTAGTAGAATCCCATGTTAAAGCAAAGTCGCTGATTAATTATCGCTCTCGTGTTGACCTCCTGTGGGTATAGTGACGAGTCCGGCGCGTATTTGTCGCAAAGATATTGCATAATGGCAATGCTCTCTGATAAGTAGAAACCATCGTCGTCCAGCACGGGAATCTCCTTTTGTGGATTCATCTGAAAGTTCATGCACATTTAAATTTTTATACATCTTCAGGGCTCAATAATGTTGCACATACCTTCGAATAATCCTCAGAACGATGTTCCAAGGAGCAGAAGTCCACATTGATTAGTTGATATTGAATATCCAAGGCCTTCAGGGTCATACGAACGGCCAAAGAAGGCGGCCCATCGGATACGGCGTACAGTTTCATGGTGTATATTGGTCTGTGGGTACAAAGCAACTATTAGTTTTTGATTTGTGCCTCGTTCGACCGGTTTGCTTTTTGCCACAAGCTTGAAAAGTGAAAGCACTTTGCCTCTCTTTAATGAAATATTTCTATTTTTGGTTCCATTTTTGCTATAGCTATTTTTATTATGCATACATTTTTGTGTGTATCAACAAATTTCTGGTCTTTTTAAATATTTTTTTTTAAACTGAATAATGTTAAACTCACAATTAATGTAGTGCGCTCGCCCAACTTTCAAATGCTACTGATAATCTCGCTTTACCAAGCTACCAGATAATGCAGGTGTTCATTTCAATGACAATGTAAACCAGTTTCATGAATAGGATTGTAAGACTTGTTCCCCGAATACTTTTAATATAGTGTTTTTTACATATTGCTTGGAGATTTTCGCATTGCGCGGAATAAGTTTTTATGTCACTGCTTGCGAAATTCCTTTGCTTTTTAAAATGAATTTATGTTTTAAAGAAAGTCACGCGGATATCTGTCAAGCGTATAACATATTAAATTAATAGTCGTGTTTGAATATTTTAAAATGAGTTTTAATTTTGTTTGTTGCCATAAAAGTAAAAGTATTTTTCGAAAGAGAATAAAATATTGTATTCCCAAAAGAAAAGCATGTTTTTAACTGATGGTTATACGTACTCAATAGACCCGTAGCCGTCGATATCATCAGCTACTTCCTCCACGACCTCAATGATGCCGTCTGTGTTGTCCATCTCGACGTACTGATGATCGCCATCGAGGGTCATTTCTTCGCCCTCTTGATCTTGGAACTCTTCCTCGTCGATGACAACATCCTCATCATCATTATGAGGCTCAACTTTGTGCGAAACGGATAATGCTGCGGAGCTGCTGTTATGACTGCCCGGCGCTCGTGGTTTCTTGTGCACCACTATATCGCTGCTTATGTTAGACACATTAAGTCGCTCGATAGCCAAATCACCATACTCCTGCTGAATCTGTTCCAGCGATTTTCCGATAAAGTGGAGCGGTCTAAACTTTAGATTCTTGTTATTCTTCTTGTTAATCTCGTTGTACAATCTTCGCTTGATGTCATCCTCGCTGAAAGGATGGCTGTGACTGTTGTACACTCGAAGTACACGAATGGAGCCATCCTTTTGGGTGGCTGTCGAGATGCGACTCTTGCAATTGATGTCCGGATCGCGGCTCTTGATGCACACCCAGTAGTTGCGTGAGATTACGCCTCGATTCTTGGCATGGTAAATATAGCCATCAACGCACAGGAGTTCATGGCCCTTAGCAGACCTTAGGGTACAAATCTTGGTAAGGTCCATATCCGGCTGCGCACCCTTTGTCGGCTCTACCACATCGCGTCGCCGGCGGATGTTCGTAATCTCGGGCTGTCGAACTTTTGGCAAGGGCGTGGACGCGTAAGCAGCGTGAGATTGAGGGTCGAGCTCCTCCAGCGCGTCAGGCAATATCTCGATCTTGGCGCTTATGTTGTCCGCTCCATCCTTGAGGTACTGCACAATCATGTTCGCCTTGGATTCGGGTTCCATTTTGATGGCACCATCGATGCTAATCACCTTCTTCATCACTACATTGCTTGTGTCGATGTGCTCGTAGCTCTCGTCAACGCTCTGTCCCGTTTCATAGGTCTCTGTACCCTGGCTGGCCGATCCCTCGTCGCTTTCAAAACTGACATCTTCTCCATGATCGCTCTTTGGTAGCTTTTGCGGGTTCTCCTGGTTAAGCTTGACCTGTTGCTTGAGCCGCCGAGCAATTTCTTTCATATCTGGATTGTGCGTATGCTCTCCGTTGATTCGGATTACTACTGGTCCGTCCTCACCCGGATCCAGGGTAATGCGGACGTGACAGGTGTTGACCTTGTCACGTCGATTTATGCAAGTAAAGAACATGTGTCCATTGGACCTGCTCTGGGAGTCAAAGTGATATAGGTGCTGACTCAAGCACAGTACTTTCCGACCCTTTGCCGAGGGAAGAAATGTAAACTTGGTTAAGTCCGTCTCCGTGAGCGGATTAAAGCCAGGCTGAGGGATATAGTTGGCAATTACATCAAATGCCAGTGGCCACTTTCTGTTGTGGTCCAGTTTTGGGTCCACCAGCAAATTATCGTCTTCCTCTTCCTGACCCTCGACCTCTTCATCGCCATGAACCTCTTCGCCCTGGCCTTCTTCCGTCCTTACATACACATCGTAGTTATCCTCGCACTCCTCGATAATTATGGATTCCAAATCATCGCACCGCTGGGATGTATGGAAAGTGTTTTCCGGATCGAAGTATTCCAGATTGGGGCACTCTGCCAGCACATCCGAGGTCTGTTCGTCCTCTACCAGAACGATCTGGTGCTTGGAAAACATATGCATCAGCTTGGCGGCCGAGTAGTGCGGATGAATGTGTGCATCGGAGTCGACGGCGTGCAGTCGATGTGCTCCTGCCAGAGTCGCCTCCGTGCAGATCCTAGCCGTGCACTCGATGTCACGCTTGCGCACACAGGTCCATCGGAAGATGTCCCCTTTGTACGACTTTCCAGCCAGGTAGTACAGATGCCCGTCGATGCAGACCATAACACGGCCATCGCGGCGTCGCAGCATGTACACGCGGTCCTTGTCCTGCCAGAAAGAAAACAATGTCAGTGGTTTATCATTTAAAGAAAACCAACGACTACTTTAAATTAAAATAAATGCCCGCCTACTTACTAATTTTCGAATCATAGTGTTCATTCTAGTAGGAGGTCTTCAAAAAAGTTATATTGAAAATGTTCTGCCTTTCCTTTTCATTTTCTAGCAGTTCTCAATTTATGTTTCACCTTATTCATATGTCATTATAATATGTTTACGCTTTTCTCATATTCAACAAATTGTTAATATTATTAAAACTCTCTTCCCAAAAAATCCCTAATTTTTTGGTCAAGGTAGTCGTATAGTATTTTTATTAATCATCTATGACCAACACTTGGTATTTATAGTCCTTTTAACGGCCCTTCAAGGCGATATTTTTTATAAGCTGATTGTGGTTGAATGGGAAACAATTAAATATGTAAAATAGGGAAATGTTTGCGAATATATTCGTATTAAAAATGGCATCATAACTTAAAATTTCCCCCAGAAATTGTCAGTTTAGGGAAATGAATTGTCCTAGTTAATGGTTGCCATACTGAATTAAAAGTCAGAGATAAGAAAACATCCGATTTATAAATGTTTCTAAAAAATGGGATAGTAAACGGTCGAAGGACTATTATAAATATTTACACAACAAGGTTATTCATATTAAAATACGCTTAAGGGGAATATCAGGGGCATATGCCAGGTACAGTTGAGCTGCGGCCGTACCTCAAAGTCCAACTGAAAGGAGGCCTCCACGGCAGAGGTGTCGATGCCTCCGTAGATGAACTCCGGCGGATTCATGCCGGCGTTGGCGCGCTCGTACTGACGGGCTCTCTTCGGCTGGGTGGTGCTGTATGCGTCGTTCATCATCATCACGGAGAGCCGCTTGCGCTGGGCAACCTTGTTGACCTCATGATCGCTGCAGCGCGGATGGATGTGGGCTAGGACCACGTCCACGACGACGTGGCGCGTCTTGTCCAGCGGATCGGGCAGCACGGTGCAGATGCGGGACTTGCAGGGGGTTGCCTTGTCCTTGCGTCTGTTGCACAGCCAACGGTAGGTGTTGTTGCGCCCGATGCGGTCGAAGTGGTACAGATAGTCGTCCACACAGAGCATATCCACGCCCTTGGCGGACCGCACCACGGACACCTTTGTCAGGTCCATGCCGTGCTCCTCGACAGGCGTCTCCATTTTTGAATTCCTGCGGTGTTTTGCCCGTGCCCGGAATTCAGCGTTTTTCGATTTTCACCCGAAAAGTGTTTTGTATCGTAAATTAGGCGATTTTTGTAGCTGCTGGCTGCCTGGGATTTGTTGGTTGGGATTTTTGGTGGTATTTCGTCAGCTCACTATTTGCGCGCGTTTTTGCAAATGCCGCACTATTACCGCATACGCACTAATTCCATGCAATTAGGTGCACCGAATATCGTTTATTATTAGTTTTTCCGACCGATTTTAATTGCACAAGCACATTTTTCTTTTGCGACGCGTCGAAAATTGCTTTTGTGTGAGATACGAGGGCTGCGAGCGAAGCGGTGGCGTTGCCACTTGTCGCACTTCTTTATTTTGTATTGTTTGAAAATAATATAAATTATTTTATTATACTTTACAGTTTGGTGAGATTTTTCCCGTTGGATTCCCAGGACGAGGAGAGCGTGGGCGATCTTCTGCTGCAAATTGACAGTATTTTGCAGTATGGCGAGGATGCCGACGTGAACGTAAAGGACTTTGATGAGCCTGAGGAAGCGGATCCGGATATATAACTTTTCCATAAAAATTAAGCCTTAAACTTATACTGTTTATAATGTTGTATTTGAAATAAAAAATTAATTCTAATTAAATTGTCCAATATTATGGTCAATAGTAGTCATCCCTGGTTGCAGAGCTGCCACTTTTGCAGTGTTGGACAGCGGCTGTCATAATTTTAAATTCCACTACGCGTACAGCGTTCTTAACAATTAGCGCAAATCAATGTGAAATAGAAATGCAGGAGCCCGACGAAAGTCCCATTGGAATGGCCTTCAACCAGGAGGCCATCGCTCAGCGCCTGGCGGCGTTAACTCGCTGGCAGGACGAGCAGAAGAGACTGCTGCAGGAGCGTCAGACCAATCAGCGCGTTTTGCTCGGCTTAGAACAGCGCAATATGTACAAAATGCTGGGTTTGCTCCACCAGGAGGCGGAAAGCAAGGAGAACAGTGTGCTGGAGGAGTCGCAGTGGGACGATGAGCACTCCATACAAATGCCGCGGCTCGCAGCTGATCAGGACGAACATGAGCTGGAGATTCCTTTGACCAGTCCGCAGCCAGCCAAGCCCAAGCGACCTTTCCTGCGTCGCGGCGAAGGTCTAAAGCAGCGCTTCAAGATCAATCCCGACCAGCTGCGCTTGGAGAACCTGCCGCGATACAAGTACGCCAATGCCCATCCCCAGTTCCGCACGCCCCAGCTGAAGAAGGGCATCCTCAAGAAGCGCAAGTCACCGCCTGCTCACGCTCCTGCTCCAGCTGCCGCCCCTGTTCCAGCAACCAAACTTCCAGCTCAACTCGATCTCAACGAGCAGCGTTTCCAGCAGATGCTAATCAACTCCAAGAACGTCTGCAACTCTACGCCAGATCTCAAGTCTTCCTACGCCTCCTCCACCACTGCCTCCAGCATCTCGCCAAAAGTTCGATTCGTGGAGCAGAAGAACAGAGCCGGGCAGACCACTCAAGCCGATGATGAAGCCTCCTCGGAGGCCAGTCCTATGACAGGAGTTTGCTGGGCCAAGGTGTTGGACACACAAAGCATAAAGCCAGCTCAAATCCAAAGACGCTCAGCTCAAATCCGAGTGGAGGATGACAGCAATGTAAGCATATTCGAGTTACTCGAGCAGAAAGCCACTGAAGGGAACTTTGATATGAACTCCAGCTGCATTCGTACCTTTATGGCGCGCAAGGATCAGCGCCATGGCACAGCTGATGACTCCGATCATATTGTCGTCACACAGCAGGTGCGTCAGATGCGTTTGCAGCCACATGTAGACCAAGTGCGGATCCAAGAATTGGAGGAGGAAGATGAAGAGGACGAGCAGCAGTCCAGTGACCAGACTCTAACAGCAACACCCATTCAGGTGGGGAAAACCCAAGTGCGAGTGCGCTTCTCCGACTCCAATGACACCAACGAATACTCCGATGCAACCACCCTAAACGACGGCTCCAATATTCAGCTCTTCGAACAGTTCAAGTCCGCTCTCTTTCAGGCTTTGGAGCAGAAGAAGAAGTCAAGTCCCAGTCAGCACCCAGAGGAACCTCTCACCCAAGAGCTTCAGGAGAAGGCTAATTTAGTTAAAACTCGTCTCGAGGAACTTGAGGCCGAGATCGCACATTTCAAGGCGCAGAACGCCCAGCTCCTTCGCCTCAAGCAGCAACACGAGTTAGATCAGGCTAAGTGCACACAGGACCACATGGAGGCCATGGAACGCGTCCACGACGAAAAGATCCAAGCGGAGATTTACCTGCATGACGAACGCATGAAGATCGAGGAGGAGCGCCGCAAGTTTGAGCAGCAGATGAGGCTCCAAAAGAGCAATGCAAACACTAAGGAAAAGAAGGAAATAGCCGCCTTGAAGCAGGAGTTGGAGGGACTGCAGATCCAGCTCAAGCAGAAGGAGCAGACCCACGTCTCCGCACAGGCACGGCTCCGAGCTCAACTGCGGGCCAGTGAGAAGGAGCAGCGCAATTACCGGGACGAGATCGAGCTGCTTAGCAGAGAAAACAAGCGCTTGGAACAGGAGCTGATCAAAATAAGTCGCGAGAGTAACAGCAAAATGCTGCAGGAGATCAACCGAAACATTGCTAGACTGGCACCAAAGGTGGTGAGTATGGAATAGTGTGGTTAATATTATGTACAACATTAATTGATATCTTCATTCAGTTGCCGTCTGCCTCCACGTCGCAAATCCTTGATGAGAACGGCCGCCGTGCTCAGTCCTTGGATGGCACTGCTGGTAAGCCTGCCAAGCAACGTGAACCGCCAAATCGTCGCCAGAGCAGCGGAAGTGCCCAAGTGAGAAGTCGCAGTCGCTCCCTGGGCAGAAACAAGAAAAAACCAGAGGCTTTGGATGAGAGTTACGCCTCCAGTAGCTCTGCAGACGAGGAAGAAGTTGTGGCACCAGTGACGGCTGCCAAAGTCGATACCCCACCGGCTGCCAACTCTAGCAGCGACTTTAAGCGGGAGATTATGAATGCAGATGGAAGCAAGGACATTTGGTACCCCAATGGCAATCTAAAGAAGATAAGCGCAGATGGCATGACCATTCGCATGCTGTACTTCAATAAAGACATTAAGGAGACTGACATCAGGGAGGGCACAGTGAAGTATTATTACGCCGAGACCAACACCTGGCACACCTCCTACCTTGACGGCTTGGAAATACTCGAGTTTCCCAATGGACAGACTGAGCATCGTCGCAAGGATGGCACCATCGAGATCCACTTTCCCAACAACAGCATTAAGGTGGTTGATCCCAGCGATGCAGAAAAACTGGAGGAGTGGCGTTATGCGGATGGAACTCACCTAGTGCAGCTCCGGAACGGGGACAAGATTCTGAATCTACCCAACGGCCAAAAGGAGATTCATACAAAACTGAACAAGCGAAGGGAGTATCCAGATGGCACTGTTAAGCTGGTCTACCCGGATGGCAGCCAAGAGACTCGATACTCCAACGGCCGCGTTCGCTTAAAGGACAAGGATGGAAAGCTCATCATGGACACAGACTACGCAAAGTATTAGGGACGGGTCTCTGTTTCCGTTGTGAATTATAGTTTTTAAATAAATAGAAAGGCGTGCTGTTTTTGTAACTCTATGATTAAGTGGTAATTTGTTACCTTGGGGTTTTAATTAATGGGATTTTAACTTAATTTTATTAATCTTTGCGAGCCTAGAAGCTACAAAACTTGGTTGTTGTCAATTATTACATTTTTATACCCGTTACTCGTAGAGAAAAAGGGTATACTAGATTCGTCGGAAAGTATGTAACAGGCAGAAGGAAGCGTTTCCGACCCCATAAAGTATATATATTCTTGATCAGGATCACTAGCCGAGTCGATCTAGCCATGTCCGTCTGTCTGTCCGGATGAACGCTGAGATCTCGGAAACTATGAGAGCTAGGCTATTGAGATTTGGCGTACAGATTCCTGAGCTTCTTACGCAGCGCAAGTTTGTTTCAGTAGACTGCCGCGCCCACTCTAACGCCCACAAACCGCCCAAAACTGTAACTCCTACAGTTTTGATGCTAGATAGAAAAGTTTAACTGAAATGTATTGTTCTCATCAATACCTATCGATTGACTTAAAAAAAAGTTTGCCACGCCCACTTAAACGCCCACAAACCGCGAAAACCTGTGACGCCCACAATTTGCATGCTAGATAAAAAATTTTAACTGAAATGTATTGGTGTCGTCAATACCACGCCCAATCTAACGCCCATAACGCTTAAATCTTTCTACCGCCGGTAGGTGGCGCATTTTAATCTCGCTTTGCTGCTTGCATATCTCCATTTCCCTTTGAGTAACGGGTATCTGATAGTCGAGGTACTCGACTATAGCGTTCTTCCTTGTTATAGTTGTATTTATACTGCGTATGCATTTGAGAGAACGGATACAAATTGAAAAATTAATTTATATCACTTTAATTTCTACTTTTGTTTAATTTTTTTAAATTTCTTCATACACATTAATAGTTATGTTAGACACAGTCTACAAAACGTATTTTACTTCGATTTAACTTTATTGAAAGTCAAATATTTATATTTAAATAAGCTTACTTCTGGAAACTCAATTAAATGTTTTATCATATTGTAAGTATACCAGAACGATGTTTAAGTGCTGGAGATCCTACTGCTCCGCATGTACCCCCTCCTGGGCCATGGTCAGGTGGTGATCGAAAATCTTGGGATGCTGATTGAGCAGTTTTGAGGCAAACTGCACGATCTGCTCGTAGGTAAACTCTGCCTTGGCGCGCGGTCCCCACAGGAAGAATGTCTTGGGGTCGTCATAGGCGCTAAGCTGAGAGCGCTCCCGCTTCAGGTATTGCTGCTTTACGAACGTCTCGTCGATCTGCTTGCGCGGATTGGCTCCGAAGTAGCCGTGCTCTTCGTCCTGGATATTCAGCATCTCCAACATGCCATACAGCTTCGAGTCCTCGATGCGGTTGCCGCGCAGGAAGATATACATGAGGACGATGTACAGCAGCGTGAACTGGGGTCTTTGTGCCGGGGTCAGCTCGTGAATGGAGGCCATCGGCTCCTCCGCAATGCAAACGAACGTCTTTGAGCCCGCATCCAGGGGGGTTAACAAAATACCGAATCGCTTGGCCAGCAATTCAGTGACAAGCGGCAGACGCTTTTTCAGCTCGTTCCTATCGCCAGCCGCCGGCACCAAATCCTTGTCCTTGATAGGAATCTTGTAGGCAGTGTGATCGAGGATGTAGTTTAAAATGGCGCGTACTTTGTCGTCCACCTCTCGAATGGGTTGTTGGGTTGCCTGCGAGAGATTGGCATTCTGGCTTCTTGATGCACGAGAAGTGCTGGCCATTTCCGGTTGAATTAATACTCCTTGTGTAGCTTTTACTGATCTTAGTTTTGAAACTATTTTGTTTGAAATAAGACATAAAATTAATGTAGGAACAAATATGGATGTTTTTCAACACTGTTGAAGTGATAGAGATGGACCAAAATCGATATCGGGGAAGGTGTATTTGCTAACCGAGGTGGTTGTCGCGGCTAACTATCGATATCAATCAAGCGGCTAAACTATCGTTTGCATGGCGTTGCCACACTATGGCGCCAATTTCAAATGGACACTGCGAAAGTTGTTCAGTATAAAAATACCAAATGGGCGTGCAAGTTTAATTTTTGAAAATTTTAATTAATTACGATAAATACTTAATACACTAACTTTGTCTCCCTTCTACCTTTTCTCACTTGATTGCGCCTTTTATCCCTTTTCAAGTGCAAATGACCACTCAATGAGCTCGTTTAAACGCACAATCTAGGCCAAGTGTAACTGAAGTGTCTTCTTTAGTGGGTTAATATTGATTGAATTCCTAATGCTGGCAGCCTTTTCTCCTCCGACATTTAGTGTAAATTCTGCGTTGAGCCGAAAAGTTTGTATATTCTGCTATTTATTGAGCAGTTCAGCAGAAAAAACTTTGTATACCCTTGCATTTACTTATAAATTACTATGAGCCTCCAGAGGTGGTGCGTTTTTAATTAAAACGGCAAAATTGCCGCGACGTGAAGCAGCAGGAAGCAAACAACTTTCAAAACTAAATGCGAATGACATGCACGGTCAACATTCCCCACGGAGACTCAAAATAAACAGAGACCGAGTCAAACAAAACGAAATGGAAATGCATTTTGCGCAGACACACGCGCAGGAGTGCGCTTCCAGACGTTGGAGAATTACATGGCCAAACATATTTTATTGCCTTGAAATGTGTGCTTTAGGTGGCTGAGGTGAAAACTAGTTACCTGCGTCTGCGCAAAGTGCTCGATCCGTAAGTGATAAATGTACAGGCGGAAGGCAGACAAAAGTTGACTTGCCAGGCGGCAAGCTTTAATTGATTTGCCATTGTTCCGGCCTAAACAAAAGGCGAATATCAGGAATCAGATATTTATGAGAGCCTTTTGTTGGGCCGAAATGGATATCCGCCGGTTTCTGCAATCGTTTCTGCTCGACCAGTGACTCTAATGGCCCCAGAATTTGCATGCCAACAAGTGAAATGTCTCAAAAACAGCAGAAACCGCGAGTGAGTGAGTCAACAAAACGCATTGTCAACGCCTCGACTTTGACTTTCTACACACAGGCAAACAGTTTTGCTTTCAAAATGCGCATTGTAACGTGGAGTTTGTCAACTCCAGCCCTAACTTTTTTACGGCCGGCTAATTGTAGTCAGACGGAGTCGGAGAAATGTTTCATTTACTAAAAAGAAAGTCAAGGTCTTTGCTGAGCGACGTGAGCGGCAAACTTGCTTTGCAGCTTTATCGTTTGGAGCCATAAAAAATTAGCAAATGACATGAGCATGCCATTTAGAATTTTCATGATAAACAAAAACCCATGACCAACCAATAGAGTAGCTACAACGGGTTTTACTGCTCACCGTGGTGGCAAAAACTATTAATAAATTAATAACAGAATCACAAAAGAAGGCAGCTACAAAAAAAGTGTGCACAAAAAAGAAAGCCAACTTAGGAATGTGGAGAGACCAATGCTCTTTAAGATTTGGGTTTATTGGCTATCGGATGGTTTTAATTTAATGATTCCCAGATGTTGATATTTAAGATTGTTTTGATTTGATAAGCCAGCAAACTAGTTTTATATTCATACAAATTTCAATATTAGTATATTTTCCCATATTTTACGCATCCGATAAAAGCAACAAATCCTTATTTAGAAGCAAAAATAAAAATAAACATAAACATTTAAATGAAGTCCTCAATCAATTAGATATTATTAATGTACAACCATTAATGTATTTGATGTTATTATAGCTATCACAATAACAAAAAGTGTTGTTTTTTTGGATATAAAAATCCCTAAAGAAGCAGTCAAAGTTTCTTACCTCATACTTTTAGTCATTTGTATAGTCACGCATTTGTTTAGTTCTATAACCTTCCTTCTGTGTAGCAAACTCAACAAATATTTAATTTATTCCTTAGCAAATGGTATGATTTATTTCCCCACAACATTGTTGTTACAACCTCTTTCAGTGAACTGATAACCCCGATTTCGGCTGTGCTGGAACTGAATCGAGAATATGGCAACAATAGCCGGCTATTGTTGATTCAGTCTGGTTGCGTGCTGTTCTTAAAAGTGGACTGCCTTCAGCGGAACGGTTTGGCATTCTTGTTTAACAGCTGCCGCTCGTGGTCGATCTGGCCGATCAGCTTTGGCTCGAGACCGGCACTTCGATTAGATTATGATTTGCGCCTCTCTCAGAACGGCCACTTATCCGTTAAATGTCAATGGGGCTCGGGCTCACAATTAAAACTTGGCAATAATAGTGGTTAGCTCTTTTGCCGCTAAAGTTCAGTTCCAAAACAAAAGACTTGGACGACAAACTCGTTCAGCAGATGTCGCCGGCTGCTTAATTAAGAGGTCAAATTAGATCTCCCAGGCCGTGGCCCAAATTAAAGCTGCCTTTCGACCTTTTACACTTAATAAATTTCGATGCAAACTAGACGCCAGCCCCTGATAATCAAATTAAACGCTTATCAGATAGTTTGCCAAACGGCTGCAACAATCGTCGCAATTAAAGCCAGACAAATGATCAGTGACTCGACTTCACTTGGGGGCCAAGTTCACTCGTGCATGCCTAATCGCGTATACGCACCGTCTGACGACATCGAACTGCGGGGGGGGTTTAATAGATGATTTGCATTCGTACAAATAAGCGGATCTAAAGTTTATGCGTATCTGTAGTGGGAAAATACGTTTTTTATTGCTCAATGGGCATAGCTTTAGTGCCACTCAAACATTCCTTTAAGAGCAGCAGGATTCCACTTGTAGGAAGACATAAATTCATTTATTCAAATTACTAAGCTGCATTTGTATTATTTGAATAAAATATTCGCAGCCCAATATTTTTCAAGGTCAACGTATATTTATTTCTTAACATCTTTCTGGGTCTTCAACTTGATCTTTTCGCTGCCTTTAAGTTTCGCCTTCGTGAATTTTTATTGCTCTCGAGATTCACAATCTCTCATTCGACCGGCCATTCTAAATGCTTTATTAATTTTGAAGCCCGTTTTTCGATGACTTTGAAGTGGGCCAGCATATCTCAGATCCACAAAAGAAACCCACAT